TGACAACAAAGGATTCATAACCAGAGGCAAAGGAATTCTTGAACGCTTTTTAGATTTCAACTTTTGTAAAACCTTTGTCACTATCTTCGAGAGATTTTTGTTTTAATTAGTCCGAAACTTCGACTTGCATCTAGTTTATTTCTATTTGGTTTATCATACTTTTTGTCGAAGCATTGATTTCATGCCGATGTAGACAGGTTTGATTGTCGTTCAACATATCGCTATGCTTATCCAACACTTTCATAATCTCTGGTTTAATCGGATTCAAGTCGGCTTCTTTCTCCAAATGCAAATTCGCCAAAAATGACTCGCATTTAGAAATGCGACCAAAATCTTGTATAACAACTAGAGGAAATTTATCAGTCGAACGAAACCATCTAGTCTAGTGCTTGCTTTTTCGTATTCGTTTTCCTTACCACTGTTACAGCACCGGGATGGAAAGGGCTTTTGCCGCAGTCCCCAGCACAGCAACACTTTCAGAAATGTCGTCAACTGAAAAATTTTCCACTATAGACTTATGAACGTCAGCGCTGTTCAAACAAATCCTTATCACCGCTCCATAAATAAACAAGCAATTCGTTTATAATAATTTTATCTGCCATCTTGTTCAAACGCTTACACACACACACACACACACACACACACACACACACACACACACACATATATATATATATATATATATATTATATATATTATATATATATATATGTACAATAGAATATATAAAATATATGTATATATATATATATGTTGGTAATAGACCATAATTTTTACAATATTCTATAAATTCTACCGAATGTTTGGCGTTAATATGTTTGTAGTTTGTTTTTTCAATTTTTCTCACTAAAGTTTTTTGGTGAACGTTTAGTTTATTAAAATTCAAAATAAACTTATTTTCCGAATTCATGCTGCAAATAAGGCCATATTTTTATTCCGAATGAATCATCATCAGTGCTTTCTGCGGTTTATATAGGGAAATATTGACGTTGTCAAAATGAATTTAGATGGAGATTGACTTTTTCAAAGTGAACTTAGATGGAAATTAGGTGTCAGGTTTCTTTATTGGCTGGTCATCTTCTTTGGTCTCCTTTTCTTCATCGATAGCATCATATTCTTCTTTGTCACTATTTACAATGCTAGTTTTTATTACTTCTTTGTTTTCGTTGTTAGTTAAGCGCCGGGTTGGAAGTGAGGTTGCAGAGTGGTGCTGTCAAATCTCATTTGGACTCAACACACTCAATCACTATTAGCCGTGAAATTTTCGACAGTAACACCAAAGTAATATACCAGAACAGCATCTACACGCACGTTTTGCTTCTTTCAAATATTCAGGTAATTTGTTCCACGTCTTAAGTCCGACGACTCTTACGCTACTATTGATAAGTTTCAATCTGTTTTTTTCAATATAAAATGTTGAGGTATGTCTTGTGTGTTTTAACTGGATTGCGTTACTATAAATAAACAAATTATTAAAATTTTTTGGAATTAAGTTGTTAATAAGTTTAAATATAAATATTGAGATGCATATGTAATAAATTTGTTTTATTAAAAGTACTTTTGCAATCTGAAAATAATTAGAGGTGTGGTCATTAAATTTTAAATCAAATAAAATTCTTATAAAACGTTTTAAACATTTTAACAGGGGATCTAGCTGATAAGCGGGACTATTTTCCCATATGCAATAATGAATATAAGGATATATAAAGCTGTAATACAAATCTTTTAATATTGTGGAATTAATCTTATTTTTGATTTTATAAAGTATACCTATGAATTTATTGGTTTTTGATTTAAGATTTTCAATGTGATAACTGTAAGACAAATTATCTTGCAGGACTAAACCCAAAAAAACAACAAGGTTTAAGTCCGAGAAACTATTGGTTAAAATCTTTGGTTAAATATAACATAGGCCAATTTGGATGAATTAACCATGAGTTTTTTCACAGAGAACCCTCGAATAATTTGAGTTCATTGTTTATGACATCTAAATTTCGTTTTAAGGTCATCAAAATAATTAAAAATGTTTGAATCGTCAGTGTTAAGAATACAATTCATCTTTTTGAAAAGTAGGCAATGTCATTTATATAAATCAAAAAAAAAAACAAAAGGCCTATTACAGACCCTTGCGGGACTCTACACGAAACTTCACGCGTCCCAGATTTAACATCATTCACAAAAACATATTGCCTTCTACCCGAGATATAACTCTCAAACCATTGATTTGTAATACCACGAATCCCATAATGGTTGAGTTTATGTAACAAAATATCGTGATCAATCAGATCAAATGCTTTTGTAAGATCGAGGAATATTCCAAAAGTAAGCCTACGTGAACTCGTGCTGGTCAATATATTTTGAACCAATTCTAGAATGGCTAGTTCACATGAATGGTGGGCTCTGAATCCGTACTGGTTTTCAGAGAGAACATTGTTTTTCATAAGAAAAGAAAATAAGCGTTTGTAAACCAGTTTTTCTAATACTTTGGATAAAGATGATAATAAAGAAATTGGTCTGTAATTATTAAAGTTATAGGGGTCATTTTTTTTCAAGATAGGAACAATTTTTGAGAGTTTAAAGCTTGATGGAAACCGAGTTTTATACATTAAAATACATAATTTATATTTAATTCTTTTCTTTAAAGTAAGCCAATGAAGGCCCTTAAGAATTGGAGTAACATGGTTAAATTTGAGACTTCCAACAATCAATTTAGCTGCTCTATTCTGAATGGATTGAATTGCAGAAATAGACCTATCTGGTAAACCGTAAAACAGACCATTGCAATAGTCCAATCGTGAATGAACAAATGCATGCACCAAGATATGAATAGCAGATTTATCTAATGACTTACGGAGTTTATAGAGTTCTCGAATCTGTCCGGAGCATAAATTTGTTATCATCTTTATATGATCATGCATCGATAATCTAGAATCAAGAATAAAACCCAGATTAGTTGCTTCGTCACTAAATTCTATTTTAACATCTCCTATTTTCACTGAGTCGATATTAAGTTTCATCAGCTGCTGCCATGTACCTATTAGAACAAATTTTGACTTCTGCTTATTTAATCTAAGACCATTGTTTAACATCCATATCAATGTTATTTAGGCAGGTTACAAGTTTGTTGATTTCAGATTGCAGTAATTCTGGCTTATTACTAACTATAATCTGAATATCATCAATATAGGCATGATATTTAAAACCGAAATTACCAATTACTTTAAAAAATTCAGCGGTATACATGATAAAAAGAATAGGCCTAAGCACTGAACCTTGTGGCACTCCTGATGTCAAAACCTTTTCATTAGATAACACATTATTGAAAACTGCTTGTCGCTTTCTGTCAAACAAATATGATCTGAACCACTTGATAGCAGTACCGGAAATACCGTAATCATGAACCAATTTTTCCAAGAGAATCTGATGGTCTACACAATCAAATGCCGGACTCATATCTAAAAACGCGACTAGAGTCACATGTTGTTTGCCTAAAGCAGCAAACAACTCAGAAAACACATAAAGCAGTACAGTTTCTGTTGAATGATAGCGGCGATATCCAGATTGGTGAACTGGTATAGCAGGTTGTTTACATTCAAATGATTCAAGAGCTGTTTTGCAGCCACTCGTTCAAATATCTTGGAAATGAAACAGATGTTGGAAATTGGTCTATAACTAGACAAATCATTTCGATCCATATTCACTTTCTTTAAAACTGGATAGACCATAGCATGCTTACAACCATTAGGACATGTGCCACTTTATATATATATATATATATATATATATATATATATATATATATATATATATATATATAAAGTTTTGTACAGCCGATGTTTTTCAAGATCATAAGCAACTGCCTAGCAAGAAAAAAATTGCATATATGCTATACGAGTATACGAATATTAATTTTACATATAACATGAGCAGAGTTCTTTTTTATATCTTTTTTTAAATTACTTTGTAAAGTATTTCATAAATTATAATTAAATTAACAAAACCATTTTGTGAAAAAATATTTATTTATTGAGTGAAATGGCAAATTCTAGCCTTAATCGGTCATATTGATAAATGGTGTTGTTAACATTTGTTAAAAAATTACAACCAACAATTCAGGATTATTCAGTGATATTATATCTTAGGCAAAGTTGGTTTGATCCTCGATTGAAGTTCAAATCTCCCGACGGCATGTTTCATGAGATGAGGTTGGAGGACGACTATTGGAAAAATATATGGATACCCGATGTTTTCTTCCGAAATGAAAAAAAAGCTTCCTATCACGACATAACAATTCCTAATCGTCTCCTCAGAGTCAACAGCACAGGGACTGTTTGGTACACCATTAAGTAAATGATTTTTTTAATTGTTTTAAAAATTAATGTTTAATTGTTGAGCAAAAATAAATTTTGTCATATTTATCCGATTTGTCTATTCAAGTTGTAAAATTTAACTGTTAAGAAAAATAGACATTTTTCTGTTTACGTATCGTAATATTGCTCGTAGAATTTTTCAAAAATCTAATTTTTAAATTTTCGATAATTATTTTGTAAATTTACTCATAAAATCATTTGTGTAAGGAGTGTAAAATTAGTTGTTTACAATGGCAACGAAGAAGAAGATTCCTAAGAATTCTGTCTTGGAGCCGAAACCCAACGACAATGAATTGAGTTTAAAACTGTGTGAAAAATGCTCACAGTGCAATAAAGAAAGACTGCAGGTTCTAAAGGAAAAATTAGTTATGGATTTAGCTTCAACTCTAGAGTCATTAAATTCCAAACTAAAAGTCACAACCTATTCTTTCATTGCAAAAATGAATGTTCTAGAAAAGGCCATAAAGAGTCAAAATCATTAGTTTATCACTCTCAGCAAAAGTTTTGAAGAATTTTCTATCACTTCACTGAAGCAATTAGAAGAGTAAATGAGGAAAAGAGTGAACAAACAATGAGGCTGTTTTCTGATGTAGTTAAAGGAAAAGTAGATAAGCTGTTTCTGATTTTAAGATGGCGCAAATGTCCTTCGCTGACACAACAAATAAACTCGAAACATTTAATGACAGGGAGAAAAGAAAAAGTAATATCATTATCTATAATCTGCAAGAGAGTGGTAGCCACAAAATTGCAGTCAACAACCTGATAAAGGAAATTACTGGCTCAGATATGGATTCAGAAGTGATTGAGGTGTTCAGGATGGGTAGGAAGTCTGACGAGAACAAGACCAGACCCATCTTGGTACAGTTTGTAAGTATTAAAACTAAAAACCTGGTGCTTGCAAACTGTTATAAATTGAGTAAATTTGTTAATTTCAAAAAAGTAATAATTAATTATGATTTATTCAGAAAAGACAGAGTTAACAACAAAAAAATGTTGAAAGATAAAAAAAAAAGATTGGTGCCAAAGATAAAATTGCTAATTGGTACTTCAGATTAAAAATTTCGAGAAAAATTTCAACAGATTGTCGCCACACAGTTAGACCACTAATCGCAATTCAGTACAGATTGGAGTACATATAAAACCGTTTTGATAAACGCTGCAACTACAGTTTGTGAGAAAACTGGTACAAAACGCCAGCATGAACGGGACATTTGGTGGTGGAATGACAGTGTACAAAATGCAATAGCTGAAAAAAAGCTATATACAAGTAATGGCAAAAATCAAAGTTTGTTGATGATCACAAAATTTTCCGTGAGAAAAACAACTATGCCAGACATCAAGTCGCACTGGCTCAGACAGATCAGTGCAGAGAGTGGCTCACTAAAAGCAAAGGTGAACAAAAGAAATCTCTGTATCGTATAGCAAAACAAGCAAAACGTACGAAAAAGACATAGTTGGTACCTCATGTATCAAAAACGACAAAAATGAGATGGTTCTTGAACAAGATGAGACCAAGCTACAGTGGAAAGAATATTTCAGCTGTCTGTTAAATGAAACAAATTCCATCAATGTCAACTTTGACGCTCCACCCATCGAAAGTCCGATTCCAGACATCACTGTAGAGGAGCTTACAGAAGCTTTGAAAGCAGCTACGAAGGATGGAGAGGGAGCAGGGCCCTCTGGACTCACAAATAACATTATCGAAGCATCTGGTACTGCAGGTATCTAAACGTTACTACAACTTTGCCGTAATATATGCTGATGATATCGTTTTAACTGCCACGCCTGAGCAGAATCACTACAGATGTTTGAAGATTGGAACACCAGACTGACCGATCATGGATTCAAAGTCAACATCAGTAAAACCAAAGCAATGAACACTGGGGAACCAATCCAATCCACAACTACTGGACAATGGCCCTTTTCAGTTTGTAAAGCTGGTGTAGGTAACAATTCAATCAAGCGTCAGCAGTGTAGCCAGTGGTGTCACAAACTTGTTAAAAAATAATTGGTACTTTATCTAAAGTGTCCAATTTTGTTTGTCCTGCTTGCATCAATCCACAACAACAAATTAGAAACAGCAATGTTTTTGAAGCCATTAATGTAGAGAAAGTCACATCGTTCCAATATCTAAGAAATGTTCTAGATTGTACTGGAACAGCTGAAGCTGCCGTTCGAGCACGCATACGTGCAGCCTGGAATAAAAAGCATCTCCTTGTCTCTATATTGATGTGGCGTGACATCCCACTACCACTACGATCAAGACTTTTGCAATCTCTGATACTTCCGGTGATGTTATATGGTTCAGAAACATGGCCAATGACAACCAAACTGGAACAACAATTTCACCGAACCAATATGAAAATGCTCGATCCGATCATTTCAAATCAACCAAAATCCTGCGTCTTTCTGGTTTAGATGATATAAAGGACGAATGCCGGCAACACCGTCTGCAGTGGTTTGTTTGGTGCAGTGGTTTGGTCAAACAAAGTGGAAACAGTGCCATAACTTCTCTTGCAGATGTTGAAGTTTTTTGACCAAGATTTTGAATATTTTGTTTATTTAGAGAAGCCCCTCATCAAATGATGAAAATAACAGCAAACTGTTATCACTGATTGCTGAAGGACTGGCAATGACTGGTGATTTTATGATGTTGGGAATTTCAATTTTTCTGCGATAAACTGGGATTCATTCAGCTGTAAAGGTAATAACGACAAGATTGAGAACAAATTTCTAAATATCTTGAAAGATAAGTTTTTATTACAACACATCAACCATCCTACAAAATTTAGGGATGGTCATTCAGCTAATATCTTAGATCTGGTGATATCAAATCAGGAATTTGTTAAAAATGTAATGATTTATCCACCACTGGGAAAAAGTGATCACTCAGTGGTTTGTTTCAAGGTGATTGGATTTGGTTATTTAGATGTGAAATACAAATCGAAGTTTTGTTATGATCTGGGAAACTACATGGGCTTTAAAAGTGCACTTACACAAGCAATGGAGCATTCAACTCATCTGATTAGTGATATAGGAAATAGCTGGACATTTTTTAGAGACAATATGGTTGCAAACACATAAATTTGTTTCAAAGAAGGGAAAGAATAATAATAATAAACTAAAATAAAGATGGAACTAAAAGAGATCAAACAAAAACATTTGCTCTGAAGATATACAGATATGGTGAGGATAAATTAAAAATATATCGGGCAATCAGAGAAAAAATAAAATCATCAAGGGAGTTGAAACGACAATGTCAAAAAGGAATTGCTAGAGAATATATAAATAATCAAAGGTTGTTTTGAAATCAAGTGAAAAAGTAATCAGACATGATGAATTGGTTGGTCCGTTATCAGAAGAGGGGATGATAATTACTGTTGTTAAAGAAAAGGTTGAAAGAGTTGCTAAATTTTTTTCTTCAGTTTATGACGATGATGCACTTTTTGATCATGATGATTGGACAAGATTTAAAAATTGTGTTATGGAAGACTTGTGGATAAATCAAGATATGGTATCAGCAAAACTTGGTAAATTGATTACTAGTTAATCTGCTGGACCAGACGAAATACATCCCAGAGTTTTATGGGGAAAGAGGTTCAATTGATAATTATTTATGCAGATTATTTCAACGATCATTAGACGAAGGTGTAGTATTTGATGAGTGGAGGCTAATCCACGTTGTGCCGTTACATAACAAGGGAAGAAAGGATTTAACCAAAAATTATCGCCCGGTGGCACTCACATAAATTTGTTGCAAGATCATGGAAGCTTTGATAACGAACCACATCATGAAATTTTTCTTAGATAACGATCTCTTTTCAGAAGATCAGGTTGGATTTATTCCTGGTCATTCCGCAGTTTTGCAACTTTTGAAATTTTTGGACGATGGAATTGTAAATGGTCATGAAGTCAATGTAGTCTATATGGATCTGGAGAAAACGTTTGACAAAGTTTCCCATAGTCGTTTACAATTCAAGTTGGAAAAGTATGGATTGAATACAAAAATAGTAAAATGGATCGAGAACTTTCTCAGCAAAAGAATTTTTAGGGTAAGATTGGATGATGTTTTATCGGAGCCAAGAACAGTTCGAAGTGGGGTTTCTCAAGGTGGAGTATTAAGCTCATTGTTATTTCTCATCTACATAAACGACATTTCTTCTGTTTTTGACAACATTATGCTTTTTGCAGATGATTCAAAAATCTATCAAGTAATAAAGAGTGAAGAGGATATAAATAGTTTTCTGTGTGACATTGGAAAATTTACTGATTGGTTTAATAAATAGAGATTAAAACTAAATTCAGATAAATGTCAATTGTTTAAAATTGGCTTTAATAAATCACGTCTTCCATATACCATTTTGGATAGTTGTGGATCACAAGTTCATCTGCCTATAGTGGAGGAGGTATCAGATCTCGGAGTTATAGTGGATGATAAATTAAATTTCAAAAGCCATGTTTTGAAGATAGTTCACAAGGCGAACCCTATTTTAAGTGTAATTGCCAGGAATTTCAAGTACCTTTCAGACGAGGAATTTGTAACTTTGAACCAGTCGTTGGTAAGATCGCGCCTATAGTGGAGGAGGTATCAGATCTCGGAGTTATAGTGGATGATAAATTAAATTTCAAAAGCCATGTTTTGAAGATAGTTCACAAGGCGAACCCTATTTTAAGTGTAATTGCCAGGAATTTCAAGTACCTTTCAGACGAGGAATTTGTAACTTTGAACCAGTCGTTGGTAAGATCGCGCTTGGAATATAGTGTCCAGGCATGGAACCCACACCGAGTCGGCTTAATTGATGAATTAGAAAAAGTACAGAAAAGAGCAACTCGTGTAATAAAATCTTGCAGAAACTTTTCATATGAAGACCGGCTGAGGAAATTGGGACTGCCATCTCTATTTTACAGACGTAGGAGAGCTGAACTCATTTTATTATTCTGAATAATTCATGGTCGATCCCTGCTGCTGTGGTCCCTACGTTATTGTTCTCACACGAAGACCGCACAAGAGGACACAACTTTAAGTTAACTACAAATGCTAGCCATAAAGACTGCCGTAAATTTTTTTTACAAATAGATTGGTTGGTGAATGGAACAAGCTGTCTTCGGTCATTGTAAATGCCACCTCTCTGTCTGGCTTCAAATCAGCAGTTGATGTATTCTATGGTGATTCCAAGTTTATTAGTCGACCTAATTATTAATGAATATTGATATTTTTATATTGGTCCATTTATATTGACTTAATTTTCATTTGTCTTGTTAATTAATGGACAATTAATATTAATATAAATAATATAAACAATTTTGATTTATTGATTGATCGACATTTATCATTTAGCTTGTTATGGTTTTGGTTTTTGAGGTTATATTTTTGGCAATTTAAATCGTTTTGTTTATTTCAAGTAGAAACACTTTTGATTTAACTTTAGGTATTTTTGTATTTGATTTTGGATTTTTCTATTTCGTTTGGCAATGAGCTATAGCCCGTGCTATTTTATCTAATAATAATAATAGCTGTAGTAAGTATTATAATTTTTTAACTTAAGTGAAAATTGTTTGCATAATTTAGCAAAATCTCCACATTTCCATGTACGAAGAAGGCATTTGTCAACTTTTGTCTGTTCTTGACGATCATCATTTAATTTCAGACAAATGAATGATATGGCACTTGTATACAATTAAGATTATTTTTTACTATGTCTTATAGATGTGAATGTGTGTGAGTGTGTGTGTGTATTTGTGTGCGCGACTGTGATGGGCGTGTTGCGACATGAAAAAATTTAATACATGATACATGCCATATTTAGATAAAAACAATTTTATAAATAAATTATAAATATAATTCTAATGTTATATTATAACGGATAATATATTTTTAAAGTATATACAAAATACCCCGCATCATTCCTCGTAATCTTCAGTTCACTAGGTTTATCGTGGGTAGATTATCATTTTAACTTTGTATTAGGATCTTCCAACGTCTACTCAGGGTTGTTAACATTTCTCATAAAAAGCGTCGCTACCGCTCTACTTAACATGGAAAATAGCACCAAAATTGGTAACGCTAATTTTTTGGACAATTAAATTAACGTAAAAATTAAAAAAAATTCTAAACTTCATTATATCACTTCATTAATTATATGTTTTTACAAATTTTTTGTTATAAAGTTCTATCCAGCTTAAACCAAAACAATCATTTTGTTTGTATTGATAAAAATTAAGAATGCGATGGAATTCGGGGATTCGGAAAAGAATCGGTTCCGCTGATCCAAAGTTTTTTACGGGTCCAAATCAACCTAAAGAACGAAAATTATTTTTAAATAACGGAAAATGTTAAGATTTTTAAAAGTTAAATATCTTAAATAAAACTCTCGGATTAGTGAATAATTTAACTTTGACTGTTTTAATATTGACTTGTGTGAGAAAATTTTGAATTTAATTAATTTGATTGAATGATTCCGTTTTTAACTGTTTAATATAATTAGCATTACTACTAACAAGTTAATACATCTACGTTTTGTAATTATTTGTTTGGTTTGTCAGAGGAAAGTTTTTGCAAATTTTTTGTTTTAGGATCGTATGTAAATTGGATTTGGATCAGTCCGGATTCATCATCAAGATTCAGATCCAGATACCACGAATCTCAAGTTCTTGAATCCGTCCCATTCTTAATAAAAAATTTTTAACAAGCAAGCGTTTGAAAAAACTTGCCACACAAGGAAAGGCCAAAAAACGTTAAACATAGTTATCGCTTGACCGATCAGAGTACTGGCTAAGATAAAAATTGCATGAAGACAAAGACGTGCGGTTTCGGGCTGCTAATGATGTGGCTATGGCATGACAGACAAAAAATCCAGTGTAGACACCATTAATCTGTGGCGTCCAAGCCACATTGTGAAAGAAGCTAGTAGTTTGACATACTTGGCATAACACCAATGATAACACTCAGATGATGTTATTTTTATCTGTGCCAAGAACAAATTTATTGGTGGCCAATAGGAATTTTGCCGTTGCTGGTCCACAAATTTGGAACTCACTACCATACAGCCTCCGTCAACCTGGTTTAACTATTCAGAAGTTTCGCAAAGATTTGAAGACGTATCTTTTTTCCCAATGATTTCACCAAACGAAAGCAGCGCCTTTGAGTTGCATTAAAGGGCGCTATATAAATTCTTTAATAATAATAATAACGTAAGCGTTGTAGTCTGTTTTTGGTAGCCAGCAAAATAATCACATATCGCATATACCAGTGGAAAGACTTTATACACAAATTAATCATGACAATTTGATTAAATACTACGGCATTGTTATGTATCTTGGAGCTGTGATATGCAAAAATCTGTTTTTGTGGTTTTTACGAGTAAATTAGATGCATGGAACAAGATCTACCAATTCTATGGAATATCACCATATTAACTTAAATTATGGCACTTGAACATAAAGTTGACTCGGAAGCGTTTGTGTGGTTATATAAGCAATATGTATCTGGCACAATAATTTTCTTTTTAAAATATAAAATATAATGTTTTTATGACATTACTTGCTACTGTTTTTGTTTTTAAGTAAAACTTATGATAAAAGCAATGCAATAGAACGATTCACGGTCAAGATATCATCAATCATAATTTTTTTGATACGGCACAAAATCTAAAAATATTGTTTTTGATGAAAAGCTTTTATAACGAAATTGTCAATTGAATGTGTTTTGTTTCAGAATATCAGCGACTTTATCGTGCCCAATGCGATTTGAAAAGTTTCCTCTCGACACACAGATGTGTCCCATTTATTTTGAGAGTTGTTAGTTTTTAACATAAATAATTATGTTAAATAATTATGAAAATAATTTACATTCTTTAAATTTACCAAGATGGTTATACAACGTCAGTGATCAATTTTTCGTGGCTAGAAAGCCCTGTGGTTGTTGACGACGGGCTTCAACTGCCCCAATTTAGTCTCGTAGATAAAAAATTTCACAATTGTACTCAACTTTACGTCACAGGCTAGTGAAAATAAGTTGCTTTTAAAAATTCTAATACAACTTACAAAGTATGCTATTATTACAGCAGTTGAAAAAATTTTAATGTTCATGTTCAGGAAATCATTCTTGCATTTCAATAGAATTTGTATTGCATAGAGACATTGGTTATTTCATAATACAAGTTTATGTTCCAAGCATGCTTATTGTAATACTGTCCTGGGTATCCTTTTGGATTAGTATTGATGCCCATCCAGCCAGAGTATCTTTGGGACTCTTTACAGTTCTTACAACAACGACAATGAGTGGAGGAGCCCGGTTAGAACAAAAATATTGATTGTTTTATTTAATTTAACTTAATTTTTTATTTCAGGGAAGGTTTGCCGAGAGTATCTTATATAAAAGCCATTGATATCTGGATGATTGTGTGTTTAGTTTTTGTTTTTGCATCATTACTTGAATATGCAGTTGTTAATGTACTGGCTAGAAGACAGGTCAAACCACAAAATCTTGCCAAGATCATGCAAAATAAAGTAGCTTTTTTTCAAAAGCATTTTTATTATTTTATGCACTATTTTAAGCACTTTTAAATAGGTTTTTTACCTTTGTTGTGGTGGTTGTGGTGGTAGAAGAAGTCGCTTCTGGTCACTCAATACCGCTCACTTTCATTTTAGCTATTATTATTTTGTATAATAATAATATAGTGTTGAGTGTTTATCTGTGAATTAAATATGTTATTGAATTTCTATTTTGGGACATGTTTCTCTACAAAACATTTTATCGATTTCCTGACTGAATGTACAAAGATGGCCAAAGCGTAGTTGTTTGCCCCTTTTGTCAAGCAAAGGTCCGGCTCTTTTGTATGCTTGAGAGTCTTCTTTAAACCACTTCTGCATCATTGTTTATTATTGAAAACAAAACAGTTTATATGAGGTTATAAATAACTTTTCTTCACTTGAAACTTTTGTCAAATGAGCTGGCTTGATTACCGTCGGTAATTTACCGAGTCTTCAGTCACCTTTTTCTCTTTCCAACACACATTCGTAAAGACATTAACTTTTTCAGTATTGAACATCTATGCTCACAAAACCAACAGTGGTTAAAAATTTTTATTAAATCATTTAATCCCATCTTTCAAAAAAGAAACTAATATTATTTGACAGAATTTAGGTAAAATGTCGGACGCTCTTACAAGAATATTCACCGTAAGTTAAAGATCATGAAAATCATGTAGAGATAATATTAATTATCCGAAATTATTATTACAGAACGAAAAAAAAAATGATTTGTTGATAAAAGATAAACGCAGAATAAAACATCATCATTCAGAACCAGATTTAAGTAGAAAACAAGCAAGACGGGTGGACAAATTATCTAGGAAAATGTTTCCTCTTTTGTTTATAATATTTAATATATTCTATTGGATTTCTTATGCTATACCAACATCCTAACAGGAATTGAACAACAGAGACTACATCTTATCGGTAGTCTTGTATCTTGCTGTTTATTGAGATTATAAATTTTGATTGAAATACTATATTTACGTTATTTAAGTTGACTTTTTTTACGTTTTGTTTGCATATAATATCTTAAATCTCGTTGTTCGAATAACTAAATAAACAAATCTAACAAAACATGTCGTTGTGTCGATGTTTGTCTGTGTATATGATTTACTCACATTTTACTGTGTATTACACGAGGAACCGGATTAAGTTATCGTGGTGCCCTAGGCACAAACCCACGTAGGTGCCTCCTTCTAATCCTCTACTGGCAGGTGATATGTTCAATATAATGCAAAAAAACTAACAAAAGAAAAACGATTGCTAAAACATATCTGTACAATCGTCACTCATATAAAACCCACAATAATGTATTTATGTAATAAATTTATTAGTTAGTTTATTTTGTAATAATATTAGACAAAAATTCTGTAACTTTTATAGATGAAAAAGTGAGAAAGAGACCATACATACATTTAAAAAAACTTTTTTCTAAATTTATGTTTGGCACAGATAAAGAATCAAGCCTTTTTTGTTTAAAAAATGTAACAAAAATTCAATATTTTCAATTAAATTGGAGGTTTTAAAATGTAAACAGTAGTGGAATTATATGGGAAAAGTTTTATTAACGCCGCAAAAGTTTAAGTTAAAAAAAATACAGCAAATTTTAATTTAATTTAACTTCACTCATGTTTGCACATAATCACATTTTAGATTGCACTTACCTACGCTTATAAAATTTAACCATCCTATATTTATTACATAATTTTACCATCTTTACAGTTTGGTATACATACATACATACATACATACATACTTACATGCATACATACATACATACATATGTTGCGAGTTATTTTAAGTTATGACAAAAAGAATAACTACAACGTTTGGTTTTTTTTATTATTAACTTTATTTAATTAACAGCAATATTGACGCAAAACAAAAATTAGTTTTTTTAAATTCCAAAAATTAAAATATATATGGCCACACCTCCTTCGAATCACCTCTAACAAATCTAACTATCCGGTTCAACTGTTCACCACCCTGAAACTAATTTCCTGGTAACAAAACACACGAGCATTAAAATGTCGTTGACCTTCTGTAATAACGCACCACCTATTGAATATGCTGATGCGTCTCATGCAACGGAAAATGGTTTGTTGATATCCGGTATCTGAAGTACTACTTTCTTTGCGAATAAACTTTTTAGATTCGTTATACAATCTATCATCCTGTTGTTTGCTGTTATGCTGTTTGGTTCGTTTTTCTTGATTACCTGCAGCAACGGTTGTAGAAATTCTGTAAAAGTCGGAAAGAATCTGCGGTAATAATTAAATAAGCCTACTATACTTCTTGCTTTCTTCTTTGCTCTCGGTACGGTAATATTCGGTATTTTAATAATATTATGCTGCATCGGTTTTACAGTGTTGTTTGCAATCACATGGCCCAGAAATTCTATTTCATAACTGGCAATATTGATTTTACTAGGTTTCACTGTTAACTTGTTTGAAGCAATTATTTTAAAAATTTCATTGAGTGCGATTACATGTTCTTGCCATGTTGCATGGAAAACACAAATGTCATCTAAATGTCATCACCAACATCTCTCCTCTGTCCAAACAATATTGATATCATCCGGTTAAACGTAGCTGGTGCATTTGCTAAGTGTTGTTATTATTTTTATTTATCTCATCACTGTTGTTATTAATTTTATTAATCTCATCACTGTTGTTATTTTTATTCATCTCATATTCATCTCATTATTTTTATTCATCTCAAGGTACTGAGGGCCGTTAAATCGTTCAAAAACGGTTCTTCTGGAGGCCTGGATGGCCTACGACTCCAGCACCTTAAGGATGTTTTTCAGGCCCCTTGCCAATTTACGACACACTGAACTCTTTAACCCAATTCATTAATTTGATCCTAGTAGTTTGAAAGCATCATTTACATCATTGCATAACAAAACATCTGACCAATCGTTGATACATAAAGCTTCATTAAGTTTGTTTATTCTACTTTTTGAAAAGGAGTAGATTTGTTGATTCTTTACGTATTTGGACTTATTTCTGTTAATGGAAGAACTGATAGTGACAGTGATGGGCAGATGGTCCGATATATCATGAACGTGCACACCACATAACGCTACCTGTTGCGGAAAGTTTGTGAAAAAGCAGTCGATGATTGATTGCTTTTCAACACTGGTTCTTGTTGGAAGCGTTATTAACTGATCAAAACTGTAGCAGGTAAAAAGTTGACATAAATACATTTTGTTAACATCATCGTTCGTGTCACTCATATCAATGTTGAGATCACCTGTGATAACAACATGCTTGTTTTCAACGTCTATTTGTTGCAGTATAATTTCCAATTGCTGCAGGTAATAGATCGCGTTGCAACTGGGTGGTCTGTATGATACAACAATGACGAAATTTTTGGTTGAAGGGTCAGTCTCTAATTCAATTGCGAAAGTTTCAAAATCTAGACCTCCCAACTTGTTTAAATCATCTCTTGTCTTGAAGGTCAAGTTATTGCTTACGTAGAGTCCTACTCCTCCACCGTGTTTGCTCAATCGATTTTTTCCGATGAATTTGAAACCGTTCATACAAATCAAATCTTCTGTACTATCATTAAGCCATGTTTCAGTGATGGCTACGACGTCAAATGTGCACACAAAATAAATATCTGTGTCGTTGCGGCGCGGAGGCGGACCAATTTGGTCATCATGGTTTGGTTTGCCGTTTAGGTGGAGGCCGTCAACTTCGTCATTCAGCTTTGAATGATTACATTTGCCGGCTTTTTTCTAAAGCTTCTATTCCTGTTTTGAAGAAACCATCTGGCATTTCAGTGCAAGATGGCAAGCGACCAGACGGTTGTACTCTTACTCCCTGGAGAGCTGGTAAATGTTTGGCTTGGGATGTTACGGTTCCTGGTACCTTGGCCGAGTGCTACGTTCACCTTACCAGCAAAGAATGTGGTTTGGCTGCAATCAGGGTATCGGACGAAAAAAGTTTAAAGTTTAAATTAAAATTAAAATTTATTTATAAAAAAAGAAATTTCCTAAACCAATTTTTAAAATCTGTGTAAAAAAAAACTATAAGGGAGAGATTGGGCCAAAGTTTGCTGCAATAGTTGTCTCCTCCCACACTGTTACCTAGGTTTTTGTATTCACTCATTTACTCATTTGCTCACTCACTCACTCATTCATCAATAAAAAAAAAGAAAAGAAAAAAAAATAAATAAAAGTTGAAACACTGGTTAAATATTTAAAGATAATTCAGTCACTCATCCGTTCGCTCGTTCATTCATTCCGTCACTCATTCATGTATTCATTCATTCATCCATTCGTTCGGTTGTTTATTCATTCATTTATTTATTCACTCACTCATTCATTCTTTTTTTCCCTCACTCGACCGTTCAGTAATTAGCTCATTCATTCCCCCATCATTCACTCATTCATTCGTTTGTTCGCTGGCCCGTTCCTTTGGTCATTCGCTTGTTCATCCATTCATTCATCCATCCACCCCACTTGGTTTGTTTCCTTTCCCTCGTTTCTTGGTTGTTTTTAATCACATATGGCTCCAACGTTACAACAGTGCCCCGTCTGCTTTAACCACTATAGAAGCACTCCAGACGGGAAGTTATGTCGGCACGGAGGTAAAGTGAAAGGACAGGAATTCTCGGGGTCCCGGAAAAAAGTTGATCCATCGGGCGCGAGGTCTGCTTCGCCTCTCGGTGCCGCACCCGACCCCAAGCCTGGGTTGCCCACACGGTCGTCGGCCGCATCGGTCTCCGGTGATCCTCTCGGCCTGGATTACTCTGGTGTTTTTGACAAGCTGACGGCCGTGCTGAAATGTGTACTGGTGTACGACCATATCCCTAAGCCATGCAGGGAGAAGTTCGCACATGATCTGAACGCCTTGCTGACGGCTGTTTGTAATGACCCTGGTGACCCGGCTCACTGGGTTAGACTCCACTGTTTTGTCCCATACGTCTTACAGAAGACTTCCAGAGGGGGTCGCCGGGTCAACCAGGGCAATCTGGTCAACAAGGGTCTAAGCGAATATTCAACTATTGGTCTTGAAACCCTGGTACTGTGCTTTGATGGGTTCAATAATGCCAAATCACAAAAGCACAACCCCGATCGGTGGATCAACGCTGTGTCATCTTGTATTGAACAGGGAAACCTGTCCTCGGCTGTCAAACTTGTCTGTTCGCCGGAGGGCATGGCGGAGAGCTCGACGGCCACCTTCGATAAATTATGTTCCATCCACCCAAAAATTCTGGTGGACAGGCGGGTCTTCCCCGCGTTGACACCAACGGCTGGTTGCGTTTCTCCCGCCGAGGTGCTGTGGGCCGTTAAATCGTTCAAAAACGGTTCTTCTGGAGGCCTGTATGGCTTACGACCCCAGCACCTTAAGGATGTTTTTCAGGCCCCTTGCCAATCGACGACACACTGAACTCCTTAACCCAATTCATTAATTTGATCTTATCTGGAGCTTGCCCACTCTCCGTCCACCGGTTCTTTTTTGGAGGCCGGCTAATAGCTTTAAATAAGAAAGACGGAGGGATCAGACCGATTGCGGTTGGGAACGTTTGGAGGAGGTTGGCCGGCAAATGTGCCTTGGCCCTGGTCGTGGTCGAACTCAAGACCAAGTTCTACCCAACTCAGTTGGGTGTCGGGATTAAAGGTGGCGCTGAGGCCGCTGTTCATGCGGTTCGAAGATTGGTCACCGACCTCCCCGATCAATGGGGGTTTCTGAAACTGGACTTTAAAAATGCCTTCAATGCCTTGAGAAGAGACTCGATGTTGGAGGCTGTCAAACTTTTTTGCCCCAATATCTATAATTTTTGCCATTCTGCCTATGGCGGAGTCTCTTCCCTTGGCTACCACTCTTGGGTTGTAGAATCGTCCGAGGGGGTACAGCAGGGTGATCCCCTTGGTCCTTTGTTGTTCGCACTAACTCTTCATCCACTCTTAGAGAAAGCTTCGTCCACTTTCGTTTGCGCTTATCTGGATGATATCAGAATAGCTTCGGACGGTCCAACTCTGGCCGATAGCTACGAATATTTGAAGCATAACTCCGCTGCAATTGGCTTAGAGTTAAACATTAAAAAATGCGAACTTCACTGCCAAAGTTTATTTCAGGTGCCACATGCGCTGGCTGAAATACCCAGAGTTGGTGCATCAGAACTGAGTTTTTTAGGCACACCCTTGGTCGAGGGCGATTATCAAATAAAGTTTTTTGACCAAAAGCTCTCTGAGCTTAAATTCGCCCTGGGTCGTGTTTTCTGTCTTTCGGCCCATGATGCCTTGACTATTATCCGCAATGCCCTCAGTTTGCCCAAATTGATGTACTTCCTGCGTACATCAAAACACATTGACCCTTCTAAATTGGGCGAATTTGACGGAGCCCTGCGCACCGCCCTGTCGTCGATTTGCAATGTTCAAGTGACTGACAGTGGTTGGTCCCAGGCTCAGCTGCCAGTGCGATTTGGTGGGCTGGGGTTGCTTAGCGTGGTTCAGCTGGCTCCCGTTGTTTATAATTCTTCTGCCGCTGCCACTCTCAACCTGCAGTCTTCCCTGCTCCACCGGTTTTTTCGTTGCCGCGATATTCTTCCCCCAGTGTCCGTCCTGGGGACCGTACGCACGTCCAAATTTTGAACGAAGAATATAAAAAAAATCTTTCAAAATTTGTTGTCTTCATGCGGCGACGACTTTTCCACCGCTCGTTTGTTGGCCATGTCCAGCGTTGCCAGCTGTGGGTGGTTGAGATCGTGGCCCAACACCTCTGTGGGCACCAGGCTTGACGACGAGTCTGTGAGATTTGCCATTGGCTTCAGACTTGGCCTGATCATTCAGAATAAATACACGTGCCGATGTGGCGCTGGGGCGGACGAGTTTGGGCATCACGGTTTGGTTTGTCGCTTGGGTGGGGGCCGTCAACTACGTCACTCAGCGCTAAACGATTAAATTTGTCGGCTCTTCTCCAAGGCTTCAATCCCGGTTCTCAAGGAACCATCCGGCATTTCTGCGCATCATGATAGGCGCCCGGACGGATGCACGCTAATACCTTGGATAGCCGGCAGATGTTTGGCGTGGGATGTTACGGTCCCTGGAACCCTCGCCGAACGATACGTAAACCTGACAAGTAAAGAATGCGGTTTGGCCGCGGCCAGGGCAGCGGACGAGAAAATGAAAAAATATGGGAATGCCCTCCCCTCGATGGAATTCTTGCCAATATGCATCGAGGTTCTTGGCCCGATGGACCCCAACACCCTTAAATTTTTTAAGGAAATATGCAAAATGATCAGCGTCAGATCAGGCGACAGCAGGGAACTGTTTTTCGCAACTAACCAAATTTCGTGCTTGTTGCAGCGGTTCCTGCGTGTCTGTGTGCTTGAAAATATCCAACTGAATGCCGACATGTGCAATTAACGACAAATCAAAGTGTTAATCCATTTGTTACTTGATGTTTGACGGTTCAGTGTCAGGCATCATGTTTTGGTTTTAACATACATACATACATACATACATACATACATACATACATACATACATACATACATACATACATACATACATACATACATACATACATACATACATACATACATACATACATACATACATACATACATACATACATACATACATACATACATACATACATACATACATACATACATACATACATACATACATACATACATACATACGAAACGAAACGAAATTTATTTGCTTCTCAAAATTAAAAATTAAAAAAAAGCAGGATGACCATAATAGAATTTATAAAAAATTCATCTAGTATGGCCACCTAAACAGAAATGTTCTACAAAGGTTCGTACAAAGGTTTTTCAGCAAATAATAAAAATTTTCCCCAAATGATCTATGAGAGGCATGTTAGATGTTAGTTGTTAGTAAATTAACGAACTCAACTATGTTAGTAAAACAGGTGTTAGTTGTTAGTACGATGGTTCACGGTTTATATATATCAATGTTTGGTATCTATCCAGAAAAACACGGGATAGACATTACATAGTTATCTATATATTTAAGCAACATATAGAACGACATGAATAGTAGATCTCACAGTAAATAAATATATAAAAACGTCTGTGGATTTTTTCAAGTGAGTAAATTAGATGCGACTTTTCCAATGAGATCAATCAATAAAGCAATCAACCAATTCCTCAATCAAGAAATCAATATAATAATTAAAAATTTAAAGCGATAGATAATAAAATAAATAAATAAAAATTGTACAAATACATCCGCTCGTTTAGTGATCAGCAACAGTTAACATTCAATGTCATTATTCAACAAATAAATTTGCAATTTATTTTTAAAATTTGCTTCATTAATTTTATTGAATTGAAAACCATGTTTTAAAATAGCATTCCAAATTCTTTACAAAGGATATGAGAAAAAAGTATGAATGTTTTTGATTTATTTGCTAATATATTATATTGACGTCTGGAATTATTTATCCGAATAAAATAATTATTGAAAATAGAAGGAAGTTTGTTTGAAAGTTGTTTATATACAAAAATAGAAGGAAGTTTGTTTGAAAGTTGTTTATATACAAAATTGGCTGTAAAATATAAATTTAGTTTATCAAAATCTAAATTATTAGTTAATTTGAACAGTTGAGGTGTGTGAGCATCTTTTCGAGAAAGCGTGATGATCCTCATTGCTTTTTTCATCAGAACTTTTACAGACATGGTAGTTGATGGGTAAGCACTGGCCCAAATGACGTTGCAGTAAGATACATGGGGCAGACAGATGGCGTTATAAAGAAGATTTAAACATATTTTTGGGAGATAAAACTTTATTCTATTTATTATTTCTATTGATCTGGCCAACTTGGTTGAAATGTGATTGACGTGGGGTTTAAACGTTAGTTTCTGATCTAAGAGGACACCCAAAAATTTTACTATTTTGCTCTCGACTATTTGTTGAATGTTAATTGTAATTTTGAACGGTTCTTTATAGTTTAAACACTGCAGTGGACCGAAGACGATCATTTGGGTTTTTGAAGTATTCAGTGCTAATTTATTGTCGTTGAACCATTTGACGACGTTTTTTAATTCAACATTTGTTCGGTCAATAACACAATCGATGCTAGTTCCGCTACCAAAAATGTTGGTGTCATCTGCGAAGCAAACATAATCAAAGTAGTTGATGCATTTGGCAAATCGTTGATAAACAAGATGAAAAGTAGTGGTCCCAAGATACTTCCTTGTGGGACTCCAACACCATTATGTTGTAATGTTGATTTTTTATTTCCCTAGCTGACAAACTGCTTTCTTTCAGACAAATAACTTTCAAACCATTCCAAAGTCGTTCCTCTTATGCCATAGTGTTCAAGCTTACCCAACAGGATGGAATGATCAATACAATCAAAAGCTTTCGACAGATCTAGACATTTATTAAGAAATCATAAAGTTTGTTAGTTTTGTTTATTAGACTTCTTATATTCAAGTGCATAACGTTTAGCATTGAATTACTCTCGTCAGAAATGAAAGATTGATATTTAGCATTGACTGACTTTGGATCATCAAACATTATTGAATTTTGTAACAATTGTTCTTCATTATTTACAAATTGGTAATTTAAAATTTTACTTTCCATTCAGAGTATTAGCATCAGGTTTCGTCTGATTGAAGCGCCATTCGCGCACAATAATGTTTTTCAACATAATGCCAGGATCCTTCATCTTACCGACATCTGAGCTATCGATGCGGACTCTGAACATTGTTGATTTCTGGTCATCTTTGTCAAAATTTTTATCCAACGATATTTCTGTTTTTTTTCAAAACAGGATAACATGTGATGACATTGATTCCATTTGACGTCAAAAATTCAACAACATCTCTTCGATGGCATTTACTAATGTTGTTCATTGAGAACACAGATTTTTTAATTAAATTTTTGTCTGCCCTCAATTTACAATCTTCAATAACTTTTTTGCCAATAACTTTTGTTGGTTTTTTAGCTGTCTTGATGTTTGCCGTGTTTTCGTTGTTGTTGTTTGAAGTGGTTTCGCCGTTGTTGTTGTTTGAAGTGGTTTCGCCGTTGTTGTTGACCTCCAATGAGACATTCAAACGTAGACGTTTGTTGTGCCGCTTCACCAACGTGAACGCTTCGTCCAGTGTGGGTGATGACACGAAGTCCGCCCACAAAATTCCTGGCGCATTTTGGTTAGTTGGTGGCAACGTGTTATTTACATTGTTAGAGATTACTGAGTCAACGTTTACTTTTTTGCCAACATAGTTTGCAACAAGAGAGTTAAGTTTATTTTTCACATTATCCAACTCGGTAGTATAAGACAAAAACATTTTATTAATCTCAGCTTGTTGAGCGAACAACATTTCTTTTATTTGTTTGTTAACGAAGTCGAAATTTATTTTCAGCCAGTTTTCCGTGTTTGGTATTTTATTTATATCAGAACTGCCAAACAACGCTATTCTATCCAACAAATTGTTATTTTTAATATAACTGAATGAAGACAAGCATTCCAGAAGTTTTTCACGTTTTGAATTCCCGCGCGAGGGAAATTTTTTCATTTTATCTAGCTTTAGTGAGTCTATTTCACATTTTAACGTTTTAATTGCTAAAACGATATCGTCACTAGTATAAAATTCACTAGTATTATTAATAAATGATTCTTCCTCTATTAAACTTAAATTATTATTAACAAAATAAAGGAGCTCGTTTATTTTGACCGGTCTCGACGCCATTTCTAATAGTTTCGCTATGTACAACTCTTGCTTGTACAATATTTCTTTAATTTCCATTTTAATTTTATTGAAATTTACATTTAATATATTATCCATACTGGGAATTTTAGAAAAATTAACACTTACATAGGTTGGTAGAGATTCCAATAAATTGTTTTTGTTTAATTGCAAGATAATTGTAACAATATCAAGAATTTTGTCCTCTTTTTTATTGCTTTT